GGGGGGGGGGGGGGGGGGGGGGCACGAAATGGCACTGCGGGCCTAAATTACAAGATTCCGTCTTTAAATGAGAATTAAGTAGAATCTTTTTAAAACACTCAGGCAAGCTAAAAATACTTACCAAGAATTAAGTTCACAGGAACAAACAATGGACCACTAAATGCGGTACGAATGTGAGCATCCTGGATTATGTTTCCTCCTTTAACTGTCAGGTGCTTAGAGCACAATTTTTGCAACACAAATTATTGAGCTCAACCTCCGCCTCGAAATTAACGTTTTTATTTGGACTGGGTTACAAAAAATTTGCATTTTTCACTCACGAGAAAAATCAGGGTCTACATGAATTAAATCTCGCACCAGAACGGTTTTGGCAGGCTTCTTGATTGAGCACTGTTTCACCCCAACCCTGTGTTGTTCAAAGTGTAAAATACTTAGCTGAGCCGAAGCAACAAGATTGAGATTTTCATACTTTCATGCAGCAGAGACAGTTTAGATCATGTTTAGTGTGCGATTGAACTCAAGTAGATATGGGTTTTTATGAGGGGAGAGCTTGAATTTAGGCATTGAAAAACATTCGTATGTATCTTGTTTAGAAAATACTTACAATGATTTTGGTTACACAAATCGTTTTCTTCAGGAAGTTTTGATGAGAAAACTTATCACACTGTCACAGGCTTAAATTCGTACCTTGTCTAGTGGTCTCTTGTAGTGTTATTTTAAATTGATTGTGAGAAAATTTGAAATTGGCAGCTCTCCCACGAACTTTGATTTTGCTCTGTATTTTTTTACTCAGAGGAAAAACGTTCATAAACGTCACATGCAGTAACAGTGTCCTGGTGCTCAATAAAGCTGGGCACTGATATTGGAGATAATTCAGGGATGAAAGGAGTAAACTGCAACAATGAATACAAAATTCAAGCAAATATAACTCAGTTATGCATTAAAATGGCTCTTACCAGAGATATATTTTACTTTATCATCCAACTGAGATCCTGAGAATGTGACGTCATAGAACACCGGAAATGAAAAAGTATGCCAACGATGAAGTGGGTCTTCATCTACTGTTAAAGCTTCGAAGAGAGATGGAACAGACTCGGCTAGTTCTCCTACATTACTGGGTAGGGAATCTTCTGCTTCATCAGATGAGCACATTCCTGAAAATTTAAGGGCAATTACACAGTTATTTCATTGAAGGCCACAATGAAATTCATTAAATTTACGTAAGGTTTCAGAGTTAGTGTCAAATCAATTAGAAGCTGGACTTTAGTGTTTATCAAACTGCATCTAGCACAAAGGATTAGGGTGGAGCCCCTCTCTCTTTGTCCCGGGAGAGTTAAGGTGAAGAAATGGTAATGAGGATCAAATTCAGATCTGTAATCTGCTGAAAGTTAAAATTTTAAGGCTAATGGATGGAAGTGATTTCTGTGGGGCAAATAAAATAATGGTGAGAATACTGTCTAGGGGTGTCTGCAGCCGTCAGAAAGCTTTTTCAGTCCATTTGTGTCAAAGGAAAGTATATTTCAAATATTAAAATTTATGATGAATTCAGGTGAAGCTCGGACTTTTTTTTTGTGAATTTAATATCTGGATCAAAATATTTTATTTTAAAAGAGCTATTGAGCTGAAAGTTCCTTGAGGAGCCAGAGGAACTTTTTACTTACCCACGCATGAGCAACATTCACCATGGTAATCACCCAAGCAGCTGATACATTCTTTGCGACACGCTATTTCTTTCATGTCACATTCACATGATTTTAATAAAATACATTTGCTGACAACACTGGCGCACAGTTCTTCTTGACAACATTTTACAAAGCCAATAGACAAGAGCACCATTAATTTTGCAGTCCAATTAATCATTTTGCCGTTCTTTGAATTCTACCTGCAAATGGAACAATAAAAATAGGAAGTACTTCACAGAATGATACACGGTGCTTTCATCCCTCCTGATATTTAATAAGGCATCTTGGGTGGTTTTTAAATTTGTGGGGAGCAATATTGTTTCTTTCTGCGAAAAATTTAATTTCTTGAACAACATGAGGAGGATTGAACAGCCTGCTAAAATGGCTGAGAGGTTAGGGAGAGTTCAATATACAAAAACCATGGCTTGGCGAGACTAAAATTTCTGAAATGTCAAGTGAAGGGTTGTGAACTTCTTTCTGAAATACAAAAGGCATTTTTACAGGCCCTTTTTCGCTCCAATTACAACCTTGGAATTGACTTGCTGCTTTGAAAAGGGTTACAACGACTGACAATTTAATATAAAGAATGAAGTTATGGTTGGAAATGCTACTCTCAATTGTGCGTTAGGGGTGGCCACTCCACGAGGTGTCGAGCTAAACTTCTTGCGAATGATTGTAATGATCTTAGATCAACGGACCAGTTAGTATTGGTGGATGATTCGATTCGATAGACTGACTTGGTCTATGACCGCGACCGACAACTGCCTCTAAGGCGCTGTTCAGCAGGCAATTGTACCTGACAGGAGCAAGACAGGCAAGTTAAGAGACATTACAATACTCTTAATTCCACGGGACTGTCAACAGCAGGGTACTGACTAATTTCAAATCTGACTCGGACCAACTACAATCAATTATCATCTCGAAGGCCCTGTCCAGCATGTAGTTTTACTTGACAGGAGTGCTCCAGTGCTGAGATGAAAAGTAGAGTCTGCGCCAAATGAGTTTACATACTCCTAGGCTGCGACGGAAGATGTCAGGCGTCACAGAGAGGCAATATGGTCAATCTTCTGTCACAGTCTGAAAGTGCGTGCACTTATTTGGCAAGGACACTGTCTGTTTATCGCTACGCAGAGTCATCTGGATAATACGTCCGGTAAGTAACTTTGTTTATTAAATCTCTGTTTGAATGCTTGATCTTTAATTAAAGCCAAAGCAGCATGCCTGAACTGACAACCTTATGCGTGCAATGTTTCTAAAACATTAATGGATGAAATTGGGGTGAATTATTGAAATAAACTAGGTAAAAACACACAAATATTTACCAATGACCGATAAAGCTTCTTATGTGCTGAACCAATCGATGCTTTCAAGAGAACTTACGGGCGCAAAGAAAGGAGTTGATGTGCTTAATAAACACTGCGAATACGTAATCAAGTTTGGAAAGCTGGACTAAACAGATCACCGAAAAAATAAATTAAGAAAAATCTTAGAAGAAAAACACATTTTCCGACATAGCACCAGAGTTTAGAAGCGCAGTTCTGTTCAGTTCTGTTATTATTGCATTGGTTCATTTTCAAATAATCCGTGTGTTGACGGTATCTCAGGGCGCCGGAACACTGCATCTGAAATTTTGCACTTTTCAAAAATAACCCGCGAATCAATATCAGCCGCAATTTTATGAGAAGGAATTTAAGTTTTATCATCAGAATATAACTTGAGTCCGAATAACTGCGTTAAAAATCTTGGAAATATACAATAATATGCGCACTTTCATGCTTGATAACAGGTTCGAGGCACAAACTCAATTCATATTTCTATTGTGTCACAAATCAATAAAATCTTATGTTATCTCTTGAGTCCATTTCCATTACGTACTACTCAGAATTCATTGAGTTTATGACCGTGAAAGACTTGGTTGACGGGCAAGAATGTATGCCAGTCTTTCAGAATTCAAATAATTCATCTTTTTAACGTTCGTCCTAAAATTATGCAGTATTTTGTATTCCCACAAAATAGAGTACCTGTATAGGGAGAGTAGCGACAGATCTGAAACTCCGAAAAACAATTCGATGTGCAATGGTGCATCACTGCTAGAAAAGAGGAATGTGGAAAAAGAACCATCACGTATCGTGAGAACCAATCACGTTACGCGAATCTACGATACATGGACATAACACGGTCCAAATTCCGCAACACTCTATTGTTCCGGCTGTCGACTTTTTCGCTGTTGCTCATGTCTGGACCTGGACCATCGTCGTCGTCGTCGGTCGTCTGTTCAATTCTAATTCTTCTTACAGATATGGCGTCTGCAATGAAAGTTTATCAATAACAAACGTCAATGTCTTTTACATGCTCAAAGTTTATCGTCTCTATTTCTCGTGAAAGGCTACTGTAATAGCCGAGTGTATTCAAAAGAATCCTGCATTGATGGTAATGCATGCAAGGAAACCTCAACGGATCAGCGATGGGTGAGCAATTTCGTTTATCTTAGACACCGTACTTGACACAACCTCTCAACGCCATATTTAGCGCATTTTCGATCGAATGACTTCCTCGACCGATTATTAATCCGCCTTTGTTTCTTTTCTTTTTCAGGTATTTCGAGAAACACCAAGCCCATCCGTATCAGGTAATATACCATCTCCATCAGGCTAAGAGTGGGAGGCCTACTTGAAGTTCCTTTAATTCCCTATACTCATTAGGCTTTGATAATTTTCATCACTTTTCATTTTTACACCACTCCCTCACTTCATTTTCCCCATATGATCCAGTCTCTATCCAATTTCAGTTATCTCAGATACTGAGCAGTCACTTCTCTGCCTTGATTTATTTACCCCATTTGGTTAGAATTATTACAAGGACTCGAACCTCTTCTGGATAACGCACTTATACCAAACCCTCCCTTTTCGTCTGTGAACTCAGCCAGTTTCCTTATCAACATGACTTTTCTATCTACGAATCTAATGGCCTTTGTGATATCTCTTCCCCCCTTTTTCTCTGTCTAACTTTTGACAGATATTGAGATTCTGCTCAGATTGTGTATATAGGCCACTTCTCTCTATTCAAGAATGTCATGAACCATAAACACTGCTTGATTTATTAATTTCCCATTAACTTGATAATCCTCCGTAAATTTTCTCTTTTAATAGCAAGACAAAGCTCCACTTTATATTTTTTTGAGCAGATTTTTCCAATTTGGTTGCCCTATTTGTGAGCTTTGAGCCCTGATGACTGCTGTGTTTACCTCAGATAACAGTGTCAAGCAGCTGTAAGTAGTCAAAATAATATTGTTCCGAGTTTTGTATGACCAGAAATTCTGCCCTCACTTAGACTTTTCACCTTCTGTGATGCTGCTGAATGTGGAGATACATACCAATAAGAATTATGTTTCCTTTTCCGTGACCTTCTCATTTCTCTTACAACATAATTTTTTGCTGTAGATAGTTAGGTTCAAGCGTAATCAATTTGTTTTTTTATCATCCAGGAATTTCGCCAGTAGTAATAGGTTTCTCTCTTTTTTGGAAACATTTGCTACCTTTTGTACCATTCTAACTTCAGCAATGGTTTTCCTCTTAGAGAATTTACTTAAAGTCAAATCATTTTAAGTTATCAGGTGTTGATTTCAATTTTGCGTTTTTGTCCCTGTCCTATTAGGACCCTCTGTAATTCCATCAGCAGATCTTACCTTAAAGTACTTTGTTCAGCTACTGCTTTGATTGTAGGAAAAGTGCTGCTGTTTTGCCAGCACTAAGTTTCTGGCATTTTACAGAGACGTCTACTTAATCTTACGAACACTTGATTGCATTTCTGATAGTCTGAACTGCCATCTTCATCAGTAAATCCCAATATTTACTTATCGAAAGATTTGTCATCGTAGAAGCGAAAAATAGAGAGCACAGAGTTATCAGTGTCTTAGACGTTGGAGAATTTTTCCAGTACGCAAGTTTGTCAGTTATTTTCTAATCTGATGGGCTCTGAACTAGCACCGTCCAACCAGTAAACCTAAATTCAGTCAATAACCCCAATTGTAATTCTTTCATTGCCTCTTACAAGGAGAAATTTTCCCCCCCTGTCTAGTAGATCTCAATTTTAAGCAAGCATAATGAGTGCTCAGTAAACAGGGGCCATCGCCATCATAAAATCAGAGTCTCCAAGTTTCCTGGTTAGTTCCCCTGTATTCTCTTACAGTTAAACCATTAAGTATTATGGAAATTTTCAAATTTTTTAACTAAGTAATTATCGCCCAAAATAACTCTTAGCAACAGTTCAGATGAAAGCAGTTGTTGCTCTTTTATTCCTAGCTCCAAGAATATAATTGACCGTGTTCAAACAAGGATTTCCTAGCTGTAGCTATGTAAGTTCTATACCTAAGAATACTGGGAGTGCAAAAATGCAGCTCTAAGTTTTTTGGTTGTTGAAAGCATACTTCAAGGAGAAACATTTGAAGTTTATTTATTTGCTTAAGTAAGAGTCATTTATTACTGAGCAAAATTAAATCATAAACAAACACTTCTACACACTTCGTTCCATGTTCTGATAGTAATTTACATCAAATCAATATAGGAGGAAAGTCTTGCCTGTACACGCTTGTGGTTTATTGTTAGTTCAGTGGATGTACATTTTCAATGAACGAAACAATACATCCACTGAACTAACAATAAGCCACAAGCGTGTAAAGGCAAACTTTTCTCCCTCATTTATTTTATTGAATATTAACACGTAAATTAGGTTATCATAATAATTTACATCAGAAATGAGTTTTTCAGTGATTCCACTCTTTCAAAGTCGCTATTTGTCTGCAGCGCATACCTATGCGCAAAGAGACAAAACTTAACTTGCAACCCTGAAATAATCCTCCTATCAGAAGACTCAATTGGGAGACTTCAAACAGACTTTGCAGAGGAGAGAGCAGTATGATAACTAATTTGCACTGGTCTCACCCTCTCTACTATCCTATATTTCAATTCCTTTATTCCTCACCTATGATTAATCTTTTACTTTTTTCCTGTGTTGATTACTGTGATTAACCTATCTTCATTCACCTTTACGGGTTTTCAAATTATTTAAGGTGAGCTCCTCAACTCAGCTCCAATAGTTGGTTTCTCTCTCTTCTCCCCCCCTCCCCCAGATTTTCCTGTACTTGCTTTTAATGTTGTTCATGTAGTCGGATGCTTTTTAGTACATTTCTACTTTGAGAGAAAATGCTATATGATTAATCAAATGTTGTCAAATCTTCTCCAACAAAATATGCATTTTTGAGGAAAGTGAAAAATAATATTCTTCCTTGAAAATTTCTGATACTTAAGATCAAATTCCAGGTGTAATTCTCTGAAAAATCGAGAGAAGGGTATTCCCAAGATTCGACACAGGAAATTTGTATATTTGAAGAAGAATGTTGACAATGTCTGAAGGCTCATACGGCAATCTTCCTTTGCACAGCAGTACAGATGGCTGTTGTAAAGGAAACTAGCCATTGATATATTTTGAATAAATGTGCCCCGAAAAGTTTCTGAAAGGTTCTAAAGCTTGTAATGTAATAAGCTAACTGTTAACTAAAAGACCAAGTTGCCAAAATGAATCAGGTTGTTATATATTCGAGGGAATTTCTATTGTGACAGGCATTTTTAGGAACTAAAGGAGCTGTTAAGGGGCTCATATCTAATACTATTTTCATACAAAGATTGAGACCAGCTACATGAAGTGGCTCCTACAAAGATGCAGGATAAGTTGCAAGTAGATCTCAACTTTGGTTAGTTTTGAGAGTGAGAGAAAATTTTGGACATTACCAAGGTTTACGCTGTATTTTTAACCAATATTTAAAATATATTATCGTAATTGCAGACCACAGCACATTGTAAGAAAATTGTGCATGAGCTGACTCTGTCGGGGGGTTTTTTTTTTAAAATTAATTTTACCACAGAACTAGGGATTCTTGCCCCCTTTAGATCCTATTTTGAATGTTAGTGTTTCTTAGTTAAAGCTCCTCAAGTATCCCTTGTTTAGTAAGCTATGCAATCACTACACTGAAGTTTTGGTTGATCACGGATTGAACATGATTTTCAATTTTTCTCTGTTTCAGAATTCCAAGTATAGCTCATCAAAGGATAAATATGCAGATAAGTTCAATCATGAAAGGATGCGCGATTCTCCAAACGGGAACACGTATCGATCTGTTAGTCCCGAATCACAAAGTCCGTATAGCAAAAATGCATATGTTTCGAAAACGCGAGAAAAGGAGAGGGAAAACAGAGACTTCAAATCTCGGGACAAATATTCAGGTGAGGATCCAATCAGATGCCAGACCAATCCTAGTATGACAAAATTTTTACTGTAGCTTACAGGAATTGAGTCTTAGCTCAAAGCCTAACTAGAGTAATATTTCTACATGTTTTAGCAGCCACAATCGACCATCTAAAAATGAATTAACTATATAAGACTTTTCAATCATTGGTTGGTCTTCAGAGGGAAAATCTGAGTTTTTTCTTTTATGCTGATGAGTGGTGAGAGTTTTTTAATAATGAGAAGTTTTTGATAAATACGTCTGTAATGAAGCAGTGATAACATGTCGATTAGAAAGCATTCTCACTGCCCACTATGTGGTCAGGGATGCAAAAATTTCTTGTTCATGCTGTCATGATTGTGTGGCCTCCAGCATAAATAAATAGGGAGGCAAGTACGCATCAGTGTTAAAATTGCATGTTTCTACAAGAATGAGTCAGTTAAGTCATTATTTTTTATTGTGTCATTTGAAAGTAGTAAGTGACTGGAGCCTACAGTTGTTTTCCTAATTTTTTTTGATGACTGCAAACGGAAGAAAAGTTTATTTGAAATCGCCAAAAATTGGGGTGGCCTAAAACGGAGTTTGAACCGCGCGCTCGTATGTTTTGAATTTACACGTCCCGATCAATATGGCAGCAGAATGCGTAGTAGAAGAATACATGGCGACGCTGTGTTGGTGGTGTGTTTATGTTGGTTAATTTGAGGTTATGTAAGTTACTTTGTTTGAGATTCATACCCATTGTTCTTAATTCTCTAAGCTTTTCAGTCAGAAGGCGATACATATTTATGTATGGTATGAAACATTCACACAGAACTTACTTAACCTCAAACAAGAAATCGTGATGTCAAAAACGGCAGCGTAGCGGTAGTAAGTAAGCAGGTTAGCTTTGTCGCTGCCATCTTCCCGGCTATGTTCCGTAGATTCGAAAATTCACGGAGGTCAGATCAAGCATGTTTTTGAGGATCCCTAAAAATAAAGAGTTATATCTCTGCTCCGTTCTCTTTTCGTGAAATTTTAACATGCACAGCGTTCTTCTCATACCAAAAACTGTAAGTTTTGTCTATTTGCAGGCAAATCCCTCCTGAGCTTAACCGACTCATTGCAGTAAAATTTAGGGGTTTTGTATTGAAGTATCTGGATATTTGCAAAATTGCGGCTATTACTACCCAAATCAAGAACAAAAAAAAAAGTTCTAGATTTGCAAATTTTGGAGGAAAAGGAGATTTTCATTATGAGATGGCTGAGATTTTTCTGCTTCCTTGTTTGTAGGAATCCATGGAATGATCCTTAAATTTTGATTTTTGTGAACGCAAACAGGCTTTTTCCATTGTCTATCCTGAAACGTCTTCCATCGGAAAATACTATGGTTAATCAGGAGATGTAGAACCTATGGCAAAATTAGAGAAATTCATTAGTATCATTGTTTCTTTTTAAATTTGGCATGAAATACCTATTTAATTTGTTTCTTTCTCTGTTTTCTGTTCAGACTATGTTGACAAATCACCTAGTGATAAGAGAAGTAGGGAAAGCAGAGATGTTGAACACAGAACAAATCATGATAGGAGCAGCTCAGAGGTAAGCAGCCTAAGTGTCCTTGATTTTTTTTCTTTTTTTTCTGGGTCCTGTGGAAAAGACGCCCTTCTTCTTTTTTGATCAGTTACTTAGAGAGGATTACCTGAACCCACCTCCTCTACCATCTGTACTGCTGTACCTAAGCTTCTGATCGGACCTAATTGGTCCTTTGGATACGTATTAAACGGTTGCTTGATGATAGGTCTACAAAAAGGCGTGCTTTTCTATCACTCCGAGGCTTTTTTGACACCGAGCGCATCGTCTAACTAAAACGAGCTTTTGATATGTTGTCAAAGTGGTTTTAGAACACATTTTACCCTGGTTTGGTTTTATTTAGATGATGTGCTCTATGCCCTAGGGAGCCAAAAACGGCCCTTATCAATACCCCTCCTTTCATCATTTTGTTCAGGGAAAACCTGGAAAAGTCGAGAATCTTTTTCCTGCCGAGTCTGCAGATACCCTTCTCATCATCATCATTCATCTTTATTTATTGGAATTGCTTGTCCAAGGTTAAAGAGCTACAAATGGTAAATTTTTACTACTGATTTGGTTTTTCAATTAATTTGTTTTATTTTTGCAATGGAAACCAGTGATAATATTAATTCCATTATTCTTTTTTACAGAAAGTAGTATTACATCCCATCAAATTATCCTCTCAAAATTCATCCAGGGAAATGGCCCAAAGAAAACCCCTTCAGCATTCTGCTTATCCAGTAAGTATGCTACGCAAATCCTCTAGCTTTGTATTACTTTTGTTGATCCATTAATCTGCTAAATATTTATTAAGAAGAATTATCGATCATTGCAGTTTCTTTTTCAATTGGTTTTAAGAATGAAGGGTGAAGAAACAAGGGTAGTAAATGTGGTTAAGACGGAGAAGTTGGTTATCGGTGGTGATCAGCAAAGCATTGAACTGGAGGATGGTCGGAAAATTCAGGACTGTGAAGAGTATAAATATCTAGGAGTTTGGTTAACTAAGGATGGAAATTTGGATCGGGCTATTAAAGATCGGAATGTGCAAGGCAGGAAAGCTATCGCGATGCTATATGGGGTTCTCTGGGACCAGAGTATCTCCAAGGAGACCAAAAGAAAAATTTACAACGTCATTACGAAGAGTATCGTAACTTACGGGAGTGAGGTCTGGCAACTGAAGAAAAGAACTGAAGACATGCTTAGGGCAACTGAGATGGACTTTTGGCGGAGGGCTGCTGGCATCTCAAGAAGAGAGCGTATCCGCAATGTAAAAGTACGCGAGATCATGGGTGTGGAGAAGGACAGCGTGCACGATGTTAGGTCCAAGCAGTTGGTCTGGTATGGACATGTGCGAAGGATGGCAGACGACCGGTTGCCCAAGCAGGTCTTCGATTGGGTTCCTCCCGGAAGGCGACGGCGTGGACGTCCTGTGAAAGGTTGGCGACAAGGGGTGGAGGAGGAGATCAGAAGGTGCCAATTGCCTGATGATCTCTGGGAGGATAGGGGGCAATGGCGATTGGGCGTCGCAGAGCGCGAGGCGGCGTTATAAAAGCGACTTTATGTATGTATGTATGTTTAAGAATAATGCACACAAGAGGTGCGTTTGGTTTTAAAAGTATACAATTCAATTGTTCAGAATGTAGCTCACGCTAAGCCCAATGGGTGGGATTAGCCATTTTAAGCTTTTTAAAACATTCTGCAAAAGTCTATTGATTAAACATTTTTTTTTTTTTACGAAAAAAGAAGAATAAAAAAAGTCATTATTGTCGAAATTGGTAGGAAAGGGGGAGTCAGAGGACAGGCCCAGAAAATGTGGAAGGCTAGGACTTTTTGCACTCCCGGAGCAGCAGAATAGGATTCTGTTACCACCTTTAATTACATATTATGTCAACACAATGCTTTGGTGTGCATTAGTCTCTTCAGAAGAGTAATTCAAGAAAAACCAAAAGTCTACCAAGAAAGCTCTGCTTCCTCTCGTCAATTTTTTCTTAAACCTAAAATTTTATTAATTTTTGCTGAATTTTAATTTACACTAAAAATGATTCAACGTACTCTTGGAGTTGCTCTCAATTCCCAGATCTTCAAGCAAACTAACATGAAGCCAGCAGTGAAGACATTTTTCTTCCACAAAGGCACAAAATATTTTTCATAGGAAGCTGTTTTTCCATACATGAAGATCTCATAGTGGTTTTCTGTTCTTTCCCCCAGGATAAAAAAAGTGATCGAGGCGACGACAGAGAGCGAGAAAGAGCGCTCAGAGTGGGTGACTGGTCGGAACATCTAAGTTCGTCCGGTAAGAAGTATTACTACAATTGTAAGACTGAAGTGTCACAGTGGGAAAAACCTCGTGAGTGGTTACTCAGACCTCCGCAGCAGTACAGCTGCAGTAACCAGCCCAGGTCTCATCATCATGATAGTCGACATTCCAATTCTACTCCAAGGCAGCAACGAGACAAGCACTCGCAGCAGCAGCAGCAACAACAACAGCGGTCATCGTCAAATTCGGCACCTCATTATTGGAATAACCAACACGACAAGCATGACGCCCCTGTAAATTCAAGTAAGTTCAGTGAGACTTGAGCTGAAGTAATGGTCGCAACTGACCGTTCTTGATGTAGTCAGAAAAATGAGGATTCATCGTGAATGGATTGATTACCTTGCCATGCTGATCGATATATTCCACGTGGGCCAATCAGTCCTTGAAAACGGCCACCACTTGCGCTGTCAATTTGCTCACATTAGCTAAGCCACGCAGAGTGAATTACTTTCCGGCATTTAAATGAACTAATAGTACCGCTAAATGCCCAATAGATGGCGTCATTGTCATTTTCCCCTGAGAATTAGTCAGCGAATATACATTAGACTAAAATCCCCAATCCTCCTATGAAATTTTCTGTTGTTCATTAATAATAATTATGAGCAAACCATCTCAATTATCAGTGACTTAGAGTCAAGTCAAATGAAAGGCCTCATGGAATTATGAGTTGTTTTGAATGATACCCATCTCATGGTGTACTTTTACTTCAAAGCTAAAATCCCTAACCATGCATCCCTAAGAATCAACAAATAAGAAATTTTCAAGCATCTACCTGAAAATCAAGCTCCTCTAAGACCTTAAAAAGTTGAATCAACTAACTTCACTAGGTCCTGTTTATAAATTGGGCCTGTAGACTAGTTTATAGTGCTTAAAAAATGGATGCACTTCCCCCTTTCCCCTCCTAAGAAGTCTCATGCTCCATTTTGGGCCACTATACAAGCTCCGAACAACACATTTTTTCCTTAAAATTTCACAAGGAAAAGAATCACATCTAGAGAAATCTGGGAATTGACTCGGAAACAAGATATAAGTGTTTACAATCAATATTTTTTTTAAATACCAAAACTGCAAATGACATCATTAATATCTCTCTTAACTTCCATTGGATTCGTTAATACCTCGCTCAGGAATTGATACCAAAATTCCCTTTGTAAGAATTATTTTCTATGTAAGATATTGAAGAGAAAACAGATTATATCTTCATGGTCCAAACCTTGTTTAGTGGCCCATTGCCGTGTCTGTTAAATAGATTTTTTTTTTTTTAGAATCTCGTGAGTACCTTGTTCATGAATTTTAGAAACTTATGAAGAAGAGAATTATTTAATCTACTGACTGTCTTTAAATTGTCGTCAATGCATTTTCTTCTAGAGGCATTGTTTATTTTTTATAACGGATAATGCAGCACATGATTAGGCATTTCTTGCTTTTCTATCTCTTGTGAAAGCAGTGCTTACCTGAAGTAAAAATAACTGGTCTTCATCTTTCTAGCTCCTGGAAATTAGTCATGCTGGCTAATTGAAGTTATCAGGGGAGGGAAGTCTTTGGTGTAATATCTTTACTATTCTGATTTCTCATCATTTCAGATCCTGAAGCACAGCAAGCGCAGGATATGGAAATCTGTAGCGGAAGTAGCACACCTACGTCTGAAGTGTCCTATTCTCATCATAATATGGCCACTAACAACGAAGTTCATGCAAGACTGCTCTCTCAATTACCCCAGGTATTTTCATGTTTCAAACAAATGACACCGCTCTAGTGTTCTGGTATCGCATTGGTGATATGCTGTGAAAGCATCTTTTCCATCTGGCAACTGTGATAGAGAGTGTGTAGTGCTACTACAGAATTGAAACTGCGTAGAAATTACTAATACTTTTTAAAATTTTAGATGAATTTTGAATTTTAAATATGGCAATATTTTTGGTACCATATCTGTGTATAAGAAGATGTGTGCGCTAACCCAATCTTTGATGGTTTGCAGAATTTGTGTAGAACTTCTAAAGCCTGTCTAGACAGTGACTCTAAGGATCGTTATTTACCTATTCCATTGATTTTGATTTTATGATTTCTTGGTTTACATTTGCCAGCAGCAAGAAAAATTAACTCCAAAAATATCACACCGGTGTAATTTTGTACGAAATGCTTAATCCAACTACTTTACCAAAATTTAAATCTCAATTGATTTTTTCTTAATGTCGTTATTATTTTATGGCATTGCTAGGAAAACATTTCTGTATCAAATTTCAACCTCTTATTCTCTTACCAAGTATATTAATGTTGCGGAGTGGTGTGTGCAGGTATCCAAAGAGCAGTGTTCAGCGGGCAGTGGGACAGTCCTAACATCATGCATCAGCGGCAGTGAGCATCCTGCTAGTGTTTCATCTTTAGGAACTAGTTTGTTGCAGCCTCTAAGGGTAGACACCTCTGTAGCAAATGCTGACCCGGGGCCACCAACCCCAACGCATTCAGAGCATCATGATGCAACGGATGTACGAAAAGGTAATGATTCAGCTTGTTTAAATTTTTCATTGTTTATTTTTCTTTCTTCTTATGTGACTGGAAAAGTAGATACATTGTAGAGATAAGTATATTCCAGAGGGAAATAACTGTAACAAAACTCAACAGTGCAATTTAAAAAGCTTTGTTTAAAACGGACTTAAAACTGCTTGCCACTTTTTCTTGCGTATTTTAGGAAGTATTTTCTGTTGAAAACTTAAACTCTGATTTTTGATAGAGTTGATAGACTTGCTAGATGAATTTCCCCCAATGTACTACAGTTTCCTTTTCCTCGAAAGGTCTTAAATCCAGTTTAATTTCAGACTAATCTAATACTCTTAAAGTAAATTCTATAAAAATCGGTATTTTTCCATCCGCTGAAGGTAACATAAAATTTGATTGAAAAAATTATGCGCCTCTCTGATCTCAAGAAAACTTATGTTTTGCAAGATTTTTAACAAGATTTTTCATGTGTAATTGTATTAAAGCTTGTAAGTATGGTGGTGGTGGTGCTTTTTGACCATAACACCAACTTGACTATCTCTTAGATGTCCAAACATATTCTCGATGGCAAGCTGTTAATACTGCCTGTTTTGAAATCCTGATACTCTGATAAGGTTGATCTCGCATAGATGGTCAGTTTTATTAGAACTGTGTGAGCTCTTAGTCAAAGTATTTTTGCCCTGTAAGTCTGTCCTTTGGGTTGCATGACCTGTAAAACTGATACTTTTGGCAACAGTTCATTTATGCAAAATTTATAAACTTTGACAGGGTTGCCTGCGGTCTTGATAATAGGGAAAGGGAATTTGCGGTGACCGGGAGAGGTCAGGAAAAGTCAGGGAATTTAATGCATTTTGCGTTTAGGAGAAGTAAGTGTAATTTAAAAGGAAAAAATCAAAGTGAAAGTTTCATTCGAATGTCAGGGAAAGCACAAATATTCAGGGAATTTGGAGATGGAGAAATTATGACAATCCTGCTCTGATTACTATCAGTTGGGGTTTTCTGACTCTTTTTAATGGAACTGGTTCTATAACTCACTGAAAATCAACATGGCAACTCTCGACTATCTTGTCAAATCAGAATCAGGGTGGAACAAAGAACATATTTTTTAATCAATTGTAGTGACAAGTAAAACAAGATTCTAACTTTATATTAGCCCTAAGCACAGACAATCATTCTCTTAGATTTATTTTGCTTTTCCTCGGTAGAAAAATCGACTAAAAGCTTAATATGAATAACGCTTTTTTAATCATGTTTCAGTGATCAGCAGTCCGCCAAGCGGAAGTAGCCTAGCATCTATTAGTAGTTCTTTAGCAACACTGAGGTCACAGGGACCCAATTTAACACCAAGTTTATCCAATTTTCACCGTGATGATCTAGTTTCTCATGTTAGAGGTTGGCCTGCAGACGTTCTGGAAAAGCAGGTAAGGAAATCTCGCTCACAATTCAGTTGAGTGTGAAATTTGAATTACTAAAATCACCAAAAAACTGGCTACTCAATTTGCAACGGGAGTATTAGGTCGCACAGATGATTGACTTCTTTTTGCAGCCCATTTACATGATCAGAATAGCTGACCTGAGAGGAGTGAATTGACATTATCTTTCATTTTTTATATTTTTGCTAGTTCTTTCAATGATGGCCAATTGACAGTTAAAAAAGCTAAAGTAATGTAAGAAGAATAAGCTGATAACCACAATCCATGGGACAAAGAACCAAAAAATAGCCAAAATTCTAAAATTTAAAAAGACATGATGTTCTAAAGATTTGTAGTGTTATTTTCTGAGGGCCAATCGAAGATGTCTGTTAGCAAAATCAAGGAGTCAATTGAAAGAACATATGGACGTATTTCTATCAAACGGACCTAAGCGGCATAGGGTGAGGAAGGTAGGGGGGGTTTGGATTGGCGGCAGAATCGGGCGTCCGGCTTATTCCGCCCTATACTCTCAATGCTTTTCCATGGCGCTTAGGTCCGTTTGACAGAACACGCTATCCGGGATTCTAAAATCCTCAAAAGGAACTCAAATTGGCGCTTAGTTCCGTTTGATAGAAATACGTCCATATTAAATGTAAGTACCAGCGAGTGACGGCACAAAAGCGGAGTTTCCATAGTTCCTATCCTACTCTTGACTGTTTTGTTCTGCTTCTTTTGGTTTGTAAATAGCTGTTAGTGGTTGAACTTAAAGGCAAATCTGTATGCAAAACCCCCTTGAGTGTTCGCAATAATCAAGAGAAAAGGTTAGTTTATCTTACACTACAAGAAGTCTCAATCATGGAAGGACTTACTAAATAATCACAGTGACACTTGATCACCTGAGGAACCACAAAATTTTGCCGAGAAAAATCAGAGAACAAAAACCTGCAAAACCATGATGAAGTGTCCAAAAAATGTCAAATTTTTTAACCAAATTTTATAATCAACTTGAACAAGAAATATCTATGAAGTTTGAATCCTTGGGAAGTTCCCTCAACCCTACTTACAAGTCGATTCTTGTAATTTTCACTTTGTTAAACGTGCTCCGCTCATACCTCCAGTTGAACAACTGTGTCTTTTCAAAATTACTCTGTCGAATGATCCTTTTCTATAGGTATTGTTTCCTCTAAAGACTTTTAAAGTATTCTTTTTTGAATTCTTCTCAGGCTCAAAAACAAAACGAGGAATCAATTAATCTGGGAAGTATGCAATGCACTAGAGTTTCAGCTGAGTTGAAATCCGCTAGATCCTTAGTTCGGTTACGGAATATTCAAGCAACTCTTCAGGAACAAAGGTATGTTTCTGTATTCATTCTCCTTGTTTCCCTTCTGTCCAGGAGTGAACATTCTTTATAATTCAATTGGATGCGGATTGTCAGTGGCCAATCCAGGGTACAAAAATCACTGTAGACTTAGCTTGTGTCCAATAAACAAAACACTCAGACACCTTTCACCATATTGTTTATTTAATTTTTTTTCCCTTGCAAAAAAAAGGCAGCATGCAGTATACTGATTTCACAGACTTCAGCATGTACTTTATTCTAACCGAAAATATCAATCCAGGCTTGGGAGTGCAACAATTTTTTTGAATGAGGGAAATGGGAAAGAGGTAAATTTTATAGCAAGCATCTTGTGAAGGTCTTTAACTTGGATTGGTACATACTGCCCATGTAGGCTGAAAAAGAATCTATCCCCGTTTCTTCTACGACTAATCACTATCTGTTAAAATAATTATCATTGAATGGTTTTTCCTTGCTTTGTTGGAATCTTTTCAGAGTCGAAAATACTTTTAATTCAATTCATAAATCTCCCAAAATTTGAAAATTGCAACATGAACTATCCCTGATGATATCTGAATCGTCAAGGAACTTTGACAACATTTCTCATAAGCTTATTGTTTGACGATGAATTTTCTGAGATTTCTCAAATTTTTTCAAATAACAATATCAGGGTGTCTACAAGTCCGGAATTTCCGGAAAGTCTAGAAATAGTATTGATTTTTTAAGGGCGGTCTGGAAGTAATGAAAAAGTGCGGAAATTTTGCCAAAAAGTCCGGAATTTTTTTTAATTTTTTGTCATTTTTGTCGCAATTCTTGAAATTTTTCTAATTTCGTGAAATGGCGGAACTGAAAAAGTACAGAATTTTTCTGTTGGAGGAGGTACTGAATTTCTCGAGAAAGTACTGATCAAGTAGTGTAAAAGTACTTATTTTTGACCAGCCTGTTTTAGTAGACACCCTGAATATGCACCGCCCATTGCAGAAGAGGTACATATCAAGAAAATGTCATCGTTGCTAAAATTGTGAAACTTCTGTCACTTTCAATGAAAACCTGAAAACTCCAGCTGTCTGTTCCTGGGCACTAGAAAGTGTTGATATGATGGAAAAATTATACCCTAAAGTTCTCTGCATCTATCTACTTTTAGATGTATTATTGTAAAAAATGAGTTTCTTAGTCTTAATAATATCGCAATGATCCTGGTTCTGTTTTGCAAATTACACTTCTATCATGAATTGAGCAAGTTTTTTCCTAAAAATGGCGAGTCATTGTGAAAACTCTAACTAACTAAAAACTGAAGGTTTTAATATCCAAGTTTCAAGAGAAAACTCTAGAACCAAAAGAACTCGCCTATTTTTACATTGTTTTCAGTCTGTTTTTAGCATTGTGTCTTAATTTATTATTATTATCCTGTTTTACAAGTGTATATTTTTTTTTACTATTATTATTATTTATTTTTCTAATTTTTTTCCAGGGTGTTGTTTTTGTGTCATCAGATAAAAATTTTAGAAGAAATGAAATCACAAAATTCATTCATGGGTGATGATGGATAATTTGAACATTACTGCCTGCTTTTCTCTGCGAATGTAATTTCTGTTTGATCACAAAATTAAGTGTGTTTGTAAGTAAGCTACAAATGATATTTGTTCAATTGTCTGTATGTATAGTAGATATATAATTTTTTAATTATTTTACTCAATGTATATATTGTACAGTCTTCATTGTATGATCACACTTATTTTATTTCGTTTTTTCTTCTTTTTTTGTTTTGATATCATCTCCTCTCTTGCATTAATGGCATCCTAAATTTTAATTGTTGCAAGATAAAAAAACTTGCGTTAAAAGGGGAAAAAAGAAGAAAAAACTAAATGTTGAATTCCATGAAGAAAAAAAGAAAAAGAGAAAAGATTATTGTGAAAGCATTAGAATTATTTTGAACAAATCAATTTTCAATAGAGGGTTAAGGGAATTTTAAGTAGGTATTTTACACGTAGGCGAACACATGTATATTAAATGATCTTTGATAGTGATCGCTGGCAAGTCGCAAAATATGTTTTTTTCTGAAGCTGTTGATTATTAATCACTTTTTTTTAATTTTTTTTTTTTTTTTGTGCTTTTGCAAGGACAAAAGGAAACATGTCTCTGAATTTTTTCTCTGTCCTCTCTCCGTAAGTTAGAACAGTTGAATGTTTTGTGAAATCAATTGTGATCACCAATTTGTTCATCGCAATTATCTTTGTCCAAGAGAACGAATATTAAATCTTTGATTTATCTCCCACTAATTTCTCTCGATGATAGTTTCAAGTGATTTGCATTAAGTCCTCAAAATGTGGGCCTTCGAAAAATTTCGTACGTAAGAAGGAGGGGGTGAAAAGTTCCATATTGGAAATTCTGACATTCCCTTTGACTTTTTTTTGTTTTTGAAATTTACGTGTGGTCATTTCAAAAAATATTTCAGAAAATTGATTACAATTTTCTAAAATCTTTTTGAAATCTTTTTGGTGGAGAAGAGTATCAAGAATTTTGAGGTCAATTTTAAAATTTACTGTAGAAAGTTACCTTTTGCATTCTGGTTGCGAATGCACCGAAGGAGTCAGGAAATTTTTTTTCATTTTTTACTAGGATTACTCCAGTAGAGTCAGAAAATTTATATATAGGACTACGTCTTTACTTACTACCTGGGGGTTGAATTTGTGAAGCGACTAATAGTAGCCACTAATTACAGCCGTTGATGACGTTATCTGAGGTTTCCATGTATGACATCTTCACATAATTTCAGTTATGACACGTTGTCTACATAACTTGAACCACCGTCACCTGTACAGGTGATATGCTTATGTCACTTTCCACCATTGCAACTTACGATGTCAGTATCTGGACTTTATTGTTTCCCCTCAAGTCTGTAGATGACTCAGAAGGACTAGAACCCCTTCCTTTGATCGTCAGAATCATTCGGTATGTCTCAGATTATAAAAATCACATGTAGTATTTGCCCCATATCATAATGCATAACTTAAGGGAACTGAGCACAAACTTTCGTTTAATAATAGTATCTTCTTTCATTAAAAGAAAACATACTTTAAATGACATTTTTCTCTCAATAGCAAATACCCAATTGAAACTTGTTCTCATCTCAGAAGACTATGATGTAGGATAATCATTCCTCTTGAGAAGTGCCTCTATGTCTCTAAATTGTGTTTAGATTTCAATTGGCAAATTTTTGCTCAGTAAATAATGGAGGATAAATATTGCTGTTACAAGAGGTATCAGACATTTAGACTGTGACTTTAAGGCTAAACAAATAGTATTCTTGAATTTCACTGTAAGACTTGTATCCCTTTTTTTGTATTTTAGTTTTGCTCTTATTCTTCATTTTGATGTAGAGAGCATTTGGGAGCAATTTTTTTTTTCTACTATCATCTTTTATAAAATCAAATGAATTAGATAATCCTGTAAGTAGTCCCTATAGAGCTTTGAAGAATGAACCCTCAGGACTGATAATAAATTAGTAGGTTTAGATAAACGATTGGGTGCGCAAGAAAATAAATTTTAACAAATTAATGGGAGCTAGAAGTTGAGTACTATTACTCTTTTCTGTCAGAATGTATCAATGCTTCTAAAGTCTCCACGTAATTGTATTAGAGGAATTTTTGTCCTCTAATGAATCAAATGTGTTGCTGAATTCTATCCTGTTTATGATTCCCACATGATGGTTTTGTGTGACTTGCCCTCTTTTTTGCAGTAAAGTCAAAAAAAAAAAAACGCTCACGAATTTAGAGGGTCAGTCCTAAAACTTTTATGGGCCCATTGTGAAGCTTTAACTATAGTTTTAATTAAACTTAAGAGCTTATCAGCCCGCAGCAGATATCAAAACTGTCTGTTTTGTTTCACAACTTCTTGGTTATTTTGAATTAAAATGTTGACGAAGATTCCCATGCAACATTATAAGATTTCAATAATTGTCTTTTCATTTTATATTTTTTTTTTTTATGCTGTAACAAGGGAATCGAAAGTATTCACCCTTGGATATTTGTATAATACGGAATATTTAGCTTATGTTAACTCGTTACACCTAATGCGTAGTTTTTTGAATGGTATGCATTTTAACTAACTTAAATATAATCTGTGATAAAGATCTTCAGTTTGTCAGTGATTAAAAGAATCATAATTTAGTGCTCACCGAAGGCGTGATGCAAAATTTGTCGATTTTTATTGGTGTCTCGAGCAGGAGACACTGAATTTATGCTTAGTTCTATTCATGTAATTCAAGATTTCTTCAAAGTTTTACAATAATAAAACTGTGTCGGAAAAATTAGAAATTTGTATCTGTTTTATTTTCCTTGCTTTTATAGCTTCAGTGAGGGCCTGAAATGGAGTCATGCATAATTTCTGGCTGTTCCCTCCTTTGCTTTCAATAGAGGTTTTCAGAAATTGAGAAAGTTTGTTTCCTCTTTCTGCGCTTTAAACTAAGTTGCTCTTTTTGTCAAGTTCTCAACTGTCTTTTTAAGAATTCTTATTTTAATTCGTAGCACTTCTTTAGTACATACATGAAATTCATTTCAAGTGTTGAAATTCTTCTTGTGACTGTACTCATTTTAAAAAGAATACCATTAATTGATTCAATAAGATGATAAGTGTCCCAAATTTCAGGGGTTATTCAATCTTTTTTATTTTGATACGGTAGTATTATTTCTTTCTTTCTTCTCTTCTTTTCATTAATATGAATTAAAGTTAACAATTAAGATTTTAAATATCTGCTTTTGAAATTTCTGAAAGGAATAATTTTTTGGAAAAAATACGTTCCTTATTTTGTTTGTTATATCCTCCTGTATTAAAAAATTATTTCCACTTGGGGTAAGAACCTTTTTATCTGATAAACTTCTCCAAAAAAAAAAAAAAAAAAAATGGATTATACAATTTTCGAGTTCCTATTGGAAATACATTTTTTGAAATCCACCGCTAAATTGATTAGCTAGAGATAATCTGCCATGCCAAGGACAAATCCTGCATCAGGACCTGAAAGGAGCCGAATGTTTCGAGGAAACTTACGCATGATTTTCTTTGAAATTTTCAGATCAGACTTTTTAGATTGATCACGTAAAATTCTGTGAAAATTTGAAACACGAACTTTTTCAAATTACCTAGATGATATGGTTTCTATCCGGTGAAATTTTGCAATGCTCGAATAGTCGCATGATGTTTTTCCCCAGCACAGCAAAATTTTGGAAACATCAAGGGTTCAGCCTCCAGTCACTTTCAGTGGTCAACAATTGATGGCAGCCTTGAACTGAAAAAAAGAAAACTAGAAGGAAAGAGAAAAAAGTAAAGAAATCGATGTTTCCTCTTTCCATCGAAATTATCCTCAAGGATGCTCATAAAACGTTGTCTCATTCAAAATTAGGCACCATCCCAGTTGAAGGATTGTATGTAGACTGGAAAAGTTGCGAATATGTACTTTATGTATCTCAAGTCTGCTGGTTGCTCTTATTTTTTGATTTTTTTAAACTTCAGCTTTGTTTCAATCAGCTCTATTCGATTTAAACAAACTGCCGCAAAATTCATCAGATTAGTTGTAATTTCGAAAAGTTCTCCAGTCAACCTGTAGCTGTTGATACTTTCTCTTTATTTTTCACCTGTCATATTACTTTGTTATACTTTTTTTCTCTCTCTACCTGAGGTTTGAATTATCGCTGAACTTCTGAACTGTTGCAACTATTAAGAGCTTTGGGTATGCATTTGTTTCCTGTCTTGTTTCCCAAACTAACTTTTATTTAAAAAAGATCGTAATCAGGTGCGTTGCAGGATTTAACTTTTAACTCAGTTTACCTCCAAACATTAAGGGAAGGAGCTCAATATGCACCATAAGATGTTTTGCATCTGGTCATATTTTTATACTGATTTTTGCTTATGTTATGTAAAATCATGAGCCATGAAGTAATTCCGATAAGCTAGCGCAAAAAGGAGGTTGGATTCAGAAACTTGTTCATTCTACTCATTTGTGATGTTTCAATTGTTCTAAAAATCCTGCTACGTCCTTGCATGATGAGGTTTAGGGAGGGATATCGAGACCCCTTTTTACCTTGTCAGGAAAGTTCTTCACATCGGTGAAAGTAAATACCAGATCATTCGATCTCCACACAAGTCCCAGAATATTACTCCAGCATGAGTGAGAAAAATCAGATAAGTTTTCCCTTATTGTTTGTTTTAGCGGTAAAAATATTCTCTCCTGTCATGTGTGTAATTGTGTTTATCATTTCATAGTATTACATTACATGTCGATAAAAGTTTTTACTAATTTTTCCTCAAAGCATTTACACGCGGCTGTCGTGACTGGCTGGACTCATTAGGCATTGATGATTTCTCTCCTGTGCATTTAACATCTTTAATTAATTAATTTAATTAAATCTCAGCCCAGCTTCTTGTTGTTTGAATTGTTAATTGTAATTCTTTTAATCCTGGAAAAAAGTTATTTACTAGAGCTAATTTAATTTGTGTTTTCAGTTGAGTTTTCAATTATTTATTGTGAATTTAAGATAAGCGATTTATTGGTATCAGTTTAATCCTAGTTTACTTCGGTAAGCTTTTATAATTGTACTATTTTTACTTTTATTCTTTTTGTTTTCCACTGAGAACCAAAAATATACTGAAACTGTTGTCACTCACATTCATGAATTCTCATCATTATTTTTACTCTTTCCGCCTTTCTCTTTTCTGATGTAATGACTTGCTTACTCCAATGAAATTTTGAGCGATCATGATTTTAGTCAATTCTAGAATGTGCACTCGTGGAATCTATTGTTAGAAATAATAACTACTGAAGAGGCATTTTTCAAACAATTTAACCTTCTTCATTCTGTTCAACAATACACACAATATCCCTTCTCTGAAACTTTCATATCCGGAAGAATTTCCCATGGGTATCTTGCCTCTGTTCTTGAGATGTCCATGATTGTCATTTTTACAAGATTCAATTGTGCTCTTTTTTGCACAATCTATATTTAATTAAAAATGAGGTGGATTCAATAGTTTATTGCATTTGGGTTTAAGTAAAATTTCATCTGAAAATGGAAGGAAAATTAGCTGAGAGAATATAGTAGGTACCAAAATTTTCTTCTAAGCACCTACTTTGATTCCTTGCTCTGCAGCCTAGAAGGCAACGAAAAATATGAGAAATGGGTCGTCGTTCAAAAAATTGGTTTTACAGTACTGACCAATGTTTACATCGATCAATATTACAACATTTTTTATGAAAAAACCGAAACAAAAATTGCTCAATGTTTGGCAACAGCCAATGTCACTTGACTATCTTTAAAAGAACACCACCCTGATGATTCTTTCAAAATCATCATTTTTTTATTGAGTCGAACAGTGACAAATCAATCACCAAAGTGTGAAACTATGTTTTTCGCAACGTTGCATACTTCCTGTCTTACTTTATTTTTTCCCTGGGAAACTATTCAATATAATTTCTTGAAAACTTTCTTGATTTTTCCTCTTCATGAGCAGAATATTCTGTACAAATTTCAAGCTATTTCTCCCTGAAAAATTAAATGGAAGTGAAAATTTTGAAACTCTGCAATGGAGATACTTTTACCATCAATTTCTGCATAGGGACATTAATATATGTGCCATTAGTACCACATATTTCGAAACAACATATTTGTTGTTTCGAAAAAAGGAGCCAGAAATACTTGCTCCCCATGCAATATGTACCTAGTCCAAACAGCCTTGCCAAATGAGCCTTTCGGAACAGTAATAAGAGAATGAATAGGAGAGTGAGGATCAGACAAATGGGGTCTCTCTTGAGGGTCAGGGCCGGATTGAGGGGATGGCCACATGGGCCGCGGCCCGGCGGCAGATTTAGGGGGCGGAAAATTTTGCAACTTTTTAATGTAGGTATCAAAAAAAGATAGAAAAAAATCGGATTCAGAAAATAAATTACAAACGAGAAAAGGCGACAAAATCTCTCATTTCTCGAGGGTAAAAGTACAGTAATTTCTGATTTTGTCGTATTACGGTGATACAAGAGACACCTCCTTTAATTAGTCGAGTTAAGAGAGAAACCAAACACGCAATTTAACCTGTAACGGAGCGGTGCGGCAGTCGGCATGAAACGCATAGCGCCTGCAAGACTGCATGAATACTTCACGCATTGCGTCAAACACAGTGCGGTCGGCGTGAAGCGCATAGCGCCTACAAGACTGCATGAATACTTCACGTATCGCGTCAAACACAGTGCGTTCAGAAGCGGTCGGTGTGAGACGCACAGCGCCTATTTGACTGTAGGAATGCTTTACGCATTGTGTCAAACACAGTACGGTCAGTTTGTTCTTTCATAATTTTTTCTTTCATTTCTTATAAATGGAAGGCCTCGTTCACATAGAGAGCAGTTCACGGAACTTAACTTTCGCGCAAAGCTCCGTGAACTTTTGTTGGTAATGTTGACACGGCTTCGCAAAAAATGTGTCCCACATGAGTATAAACGCGTCTTATGCACCCCTCCCCGCTGCACGTTCACTTGATGGTTTTTATTGATGTTTCAAAAGGAATGAGAAGGGGGCGGCAAAATACAGGCGGCCCATGGGCAGCAAGTAGGTGAATCCGGCCCTGTTGAGGGTAACGAGCAAGAGATCAGAGTTTATTATTTTGTGCCATTGGTTAGATATCTACTATAGAAAATTTCTGTAAATGAGAATATTAGTACATACATTGAAAATTTTCTTTCATTATTTAACTTCTTTTTCCAAGCCGAATCCTGATATGCATTTAAATAGGGTCCTCTAACTCTCTGGTTTTTTTTTTCTTCTACCGTCATTCAAATTTCCATGTTTTTTTTTTACTCTCGCTTCTGAACAATGTGGAATTCCTCGTCCCTACTTTGCCTTTAGACCTTTATGCTTTGAACTTGAAATCTAGTACGTACCGAGCGTTGAGGTATCCCCGTATCCCGAGGTAATTATAATTCGAATTCTGCGGCTTTACACATATGAAGCTATTCAAGGGTTCTGATTGGTCATAAGTCATTGAAACTCACCAATTACAACAGTGCTGATGTTGGAACTTTTGGGAGGAGCTTGTACGGTCGCCCGGTCCGTAAAGTGAGGTTATAAAATTAACTTGACAGTTATCGTATCCCTGAAAGTTTGAAAAGTTCTGATGTAAATAATGCTATATTTTCATACTCTGACCATGCTCCAGACTTTTTCGACTTGTAGATCTATCGGGTAACATTTAGAACATAATATCAAAGTATCACCCAGGTTCATCACTTTCTCATAATGTGTAAGTAAGTGTGACAAAATGAGAGAGTACTCAAAGTGATTTGCTGCAGAAAATGTTCCTGCTGACAAAACCATTCAAGCTCACAAATAGGACAGTATTTTCCAACTTCAGTTAGCCGCACACATCAAAATGTTTGAAGTCACTGACGTACAAAGTAAGTATTCATCTCTCATGCTGTATCTCCTCTGCTAATTACACATGATTACTCGCCCAAGTCGAATACTACGTTGATAAAATTAGGTTTTGCTGGGCTCATCCTGACTTATTCCTGTAAATCTAAGGTTTATGATTCGTGTATCATCCAAAAACTATTTAAGTAAAGCAGCGCTCAACTTGTAATGATGCTTCCAGTCTGTAATCGTTAGTATCTACCAAGCCAGCTGGTATAGAGTTATCCTACAACTGTTTTAATGTATGCAGCCAAGCAATATAGTGATACGGTATATTTCCTCAGGTTTTAGTACAGGATGATAGAATTATTACCAAAAGAAATTATATTTGTCTGAGATAAGTGGAACTATTTTAATAGAGGTATGGTTGTTGAGTTGGAAAGAAATTGTCCTGCTCCGGTCCAGAATGTATTGTTCCCAGAAATTAACATTTTACATCAACTCCATACTTAGTTTCAATCGGGCACAATGTGATTGTTTGCTCAACTTTTTCTAATCAAATTGGGAAGATATTGATTTAATGCATTGTGATGATTCGATACAACCAACTAAGTAAGCACTATACTTTTTACCTTGTACCTCTCACTGAGATTTATAAGGACAGATTTTGTAGATAACATCCACAAAATTTCCAGACAAAATATTTCCGTAATTTTTGTCATGAAGACTAAACACAAGACTTTATTTTAGTGTGTAACAGAGTCTTGCCGATTCTGTTTTCATTCTTTTCTCAGGAACTCAAAAGTTGTAGTATCTTGTTTTGATGGAGGCACTTCGTAATAGTATAATTTGTCTGTCTCTTGAGATTTACTTTAAAAATTGGAAAAAACTAATGTGATGTTCCATTTCAGAAATAGGAGTGGGTCTCGCTGCATTTGGCATAGGGTTTTTATTCTTTGGTGTTCTTCTAGTCTTCGACAAAGGACTCTTAGCCATCGGAAATGTAAGTATCTAATTTATATGTAGTGATGTTGATTTTTAAATGGCTCTGATCATTTAATGGAAATTCTCTGATGCAGTTAATTATTTTTGTGTAACCCTTTTAGCTACCAACTGGCGACCTTAATGAGCGTTTTTAAATCCAAAATTAGTTATAATTTGCTTCAAATAATAATAATGATAAAAATAAATAATTAATATAACTAAAAAATATGAATGAAGCGGCAGCTTTTTATGCCTGACTTTTGACTGTAGAGAAGGAAGAATCAAAATCATATGCCAATCACTATGCTGTAAAATTTTTCATGCTTGTCATGGCATTATAATGTCATGCAATAATGTCGCAATGCTATTATTATTATTTCAAATTTCTCTGTCCTGTTTCTTTTTTGGTATTCCTTGAGGGGCCGTTCGAGTATTACGTAAGTAACACACTTATGGGGGGGGGGGGGTTGAGCCTGCATTACGATGAGTTTCCAGGGGTGGAGGAGGGGTCATAAAATCAGAAAAATTGTGTTACGCAGTACTTGAACAGCCCCCTAGTTGTAAATAACAAATACTTTTCCTTCATCCGCCCATAATTTTTTTTAATGTTCTGCTTCAATTCTGTTCACAGATACTATTTATATCCGGTTTAGCATGTGTTATTGGGTTTGGCAGAACCTTTAGATTCTTTTTTCAAAGGCACAAAGTGAAAGGTTCCGCTGCGTTTTTCGGTGGAATTTTCGTAGTTCTTTTTGGCTGGCCTTTTGTCGGCATGCTAATAGAAATGTATGGTTTTGTACTTTTATTTAGGTGAGTTTCAGTCCATTCATCACTGCTCTTGTTACTTAGCATACTTTTCCCGAATGTGCAGCCATGTGGTTGTGTTATGAAAGAAAAAGAAAGAAAGAAAGAATAAAAGAACAAAGAAAAACATAGAATACCTATATTTACCTACATTCATGACAATTCTAATGTTGGAATCCTATTTCCCTAGAGCATTTTTCCAAGTGAGTGATGACTTTCATTCAGGGTCAGAATCAAGCAAAATTAGGCGAAACTGAAATCTTTGACAAAATATTGTCTAGTCAGCCAGTTGGTCGAGTTTTGTTTAATAAAAAAAATACCAAGTTTCATTTTCAAAACAAATAATGACTGAACAACTTATACGTAAATTTAAACCTAACAGTAATTTACTCTCACTTGCTAAAAAATATAACTCAACGCACTGTCTCATGACCCGTACGTCCACTGCAATCAGTTTGTGTACAAAATCTAAGTCCCTAATCAGTTTTTTGTATATAGACATCTGATTTGTTTACAGTGGTTTCAAATCAATAAAGATAAACGAAGTGATCCTAAGGTCTTGCACTACTTGGATAACTTTTTTGCGCATTGAGCTATTTAGTTAAAATTTGTGTTGAAAGTATTCCCAAGTTGGAAAGAAGCTACTTTTTGCCCCCCCCCCCCCCCAAAAAAAAAAAAAAAAAACCTGAAGAAACCCTTGTGAGGAAAAGCATGGACCATTACTGGTTTATTTTTTTTAAATAGCAACGCCTACCTTGGGAAACGTCATTAGTAAAAGCATTTAAAAGAAAAAAAATTTGGCGCTAAGGCTGAATACACTGTTTCAAACCGTCACTAAATGGCAAATTATAAAATTTCATAACAGCCAGAAAATGGGTACCTTGTCAACCTATGAAAGAATTTGCTTCAAATTAAGTATCCATTGGTAATTTCATATGTTAAATACAAATATGACCTTAGATTTTCAAAGCGTTGAATCACTTTATAAAACAGGAGGAAATCTTTATTGTTCGTAACCAAAGATATCGTCAGAAAAGAAAATGCCCCTCATGAAATTCCAGAGTATCAAATGTGCAAACCAATATTTTTCAGTCTCTGTTGCATTATTATTTGCCCGCCTGTTTTTTTTTTTTTTTTTTTTTTTTTTCTTTTTCTTCTCTCTGTGTGTGTGTGTCGAATAAAGGTTACAATTGTGCAAAAAAAAGGCAAAGTTTGAAATCAATCGAATTTAGTTACACAAATGATCATTTCCCTGTTGTGTTCGGTCAGCCTAGAAGTGATTGCTCAGTTGAAGTTCTTAATGGAGTCATGTACTTGTTGGCAACACTTGCAATCCTTTTGTTAAGAAATTTGCAATTTAAATCATCAGAATGAATTTTCTCCACTCCTATTGTATGTATGTATTTATTTTTTTTCAGTGGATTTTTTCCTGTGGCTGTCAATTTTCTTCGGAGGATACCAGTTCTTGGCATGTTCCTCAATTTCCCAGGAATCAAAGGGGTAAATAACGATTCCATTCAATTTTAATTTGTTTAAGTCAAAGCATGATAATATTCCCTAAGGACCTTTCCTTTCCTGGACATTCCTTTTAAAATTATGAAACTTTGTTGAGAATGTTTATTATGTTTGTCTTTTCATGCTTGATTCGTTCAGCAAGTTTTAGGTATCTACTAATAAGAGAGACTTTTTCTCAACATAATTCTGTTTTAAAATCAGCAACTGCTGCATGATACCCCACTTGTGTATTTTGTATACATTTTTCTCTCACTCTTATTTCTTGCTGTAGTACTTAAACTTTCTATCAGTGCCAACGGTATCAGATTCTTTGTTAATGTAACAGCACCATAGGTCAAGACATCTCTTAAAACTACTATCATTCATAAAACTGTCGGTATATGTATTGAAGATCTGAATTGATAGACGTCTTCGCTTTCTAAGGGAATCGTTCAATTGTTAGGATTCTTTATCACAAAGCCTGGGCCACAATGTAGTTTTCCTCTGATTCTATGAATCAGTAAAAGTGTGTTTGCGATTCAGCCTCCAATAATCAGCATATTTAGGGTGTAAGAACATAATAATTGAGCATTTTCTATGTTAAATACTTTTGTAGGCTCTGAAAGTTGGCAATGCCGACAATGTCTGCCTAAATTTTACATAATTAACAACTTCAATCATTGTACCTCGCTGAAATTATCATCCGAAGAATCATACAGTTTTCTGCCTTTCCTGGGTGCCACGCGTCACATGCGCCTAATAATTGGTCTTTGATGCTTAGTTGGGGGAGCCTGGCTGTTGTGGCGCCTCAAAAAGTTGATTTACCCCATCGATTTTTTCAAACTTAAAATCGCAAAGCATCAATAGTAATCTCAACGCATCGGTCACGCCCATGATGTGTTTGCAAAAAGTTCATTTGTTAAAAATTAAGCTTTTCGGAGGAGGTGGCTCCTAAGATTTAAGGGTGAGGGCAGTACGCTGAAACAATGATAAAAATATTTTGAATCAGAAAAAAAATTTTGCTTGTATTATGCAAACAGTCTCTCCTCGTGGATGTGATTTTTTTCAATAATTCTAATGTTGAATGATGACATTTATTACTTGGCTGCTGCCCGTTTGTATTACCAGCAAAGGTTAGGAAAGAGGAAAAATGCTTGGGGCTTTTGGATTGGAGTGAAAAGTAGTTGCATGCTAATGTTGACATCATCTGGGATAAGTATAGTGCAATTAATATCTTCAGTATTTTTTCTCTAGTTTCCTTTGTCCGTCCAACTGTAGCTCATTCAGTGTATAGTGAAATGTTTGGAAGACGAGTTAATTTTATGGGGTCTTTCAACCAGCAGAGATTGAGTCATAGAGTTTATAGATTGTAAAAACTGTTTGTTTGTATGTGTGTGAATTAAGCATTGCATGACTTTCAGCAGTGTCAGCTAATTAAGTCTTTACTAAGTTCTAAGTTGATTTTTATAGGAATTAATAGGAGGGGAGGGGGGGGGCAGCGCCCAAATCAAAGGAAAGTAGGTATGTATTATGACCTAAAAAATAAAAAATCTAAGAATGAATGTAGTGCTCTTCATCATTTTGATGCTTTTAAACGTTTTAGGTGTCAAATTTTTTCTCAAGTAAGTATTAGCTAATATCAATGGTGGTGTTAGAAAAACACCACCTAGATTCTCAAGTTCCAATATTTCAGCTCATATTTTAGTGTTCCAAGAGAATGCCATGTCTAAAATTTTGCATGGATACTCTAGAAGATATATTTGAAAGTAAATCACACAAAATTTTGATGAAAACCGATGATTTGTTGCTCATTAAACAATTTAATAAGACAAGAAACCTACAATGTCGCAAACCAAAATATATGATTGCCCCGTTTTGTTTTTTTAACATACCCAGTATATTTGTTAGATATATAAAAAAGCCCAAGGTTCTCAATGTATGAGCCTCTCACTTCACCCTTTAAAAAGCTTTTCATCAAGGATGGTGTATCCAAGACCAATCCACTGCGGGCAATTAATGTGCATCTTTTCGATATCCACTCCTCTGCCCTGCCCTAACCTGACCGCAGTTAGTATCAAGTAGCTTTGGCCTCTCCCATCAGAAATACATTGGAATCAAACTTCAAAGTGCTGATGCACAGTATGGTCCCAAAACTCGACCACGGTAATGACAGACCTATTTGGGTCCATCAACCATCTTATTCTTGTACATTTTTTCATGAATAATTGTTTTTATCAACAGTAAAATCATTATCCCATCTGACTTACTGACGGTGAAATTAAAAATCCCTGTATCTGGTAGCTAGGTACCCAAATAACTTCTCTTTCTTTACTGGGAACAAAATAGCCTACATTGTTGCACAATATTTTTAGCAAATATGTGTTTTTAGACAAAGATTTGTTTTAAAAGAGCGTGAAGTTGTTTCAATTTTTAGCCCTCAGCATGGCAAATTAGAGTGAATCAATGTCTGTATGGTGCATTTCATATTGACATTACTGTAGTATGTTTCAACATTTTTTGATTTTTGTATGCCAGGATGTTTGTAGAACTTGCCTTTGAGCAATGGCACTGATATTTTGTTTTGAATTTTTTTCGGCACTAATTGTAAGGCTCCTGTGGATAATTAAATATTTATTTTCATAAATTGAATGGAAAAACAATGAACGTTTAAGAACTGCCCCCTTAAAATCAACGTACCTAAAGTAATTTATCCTTTTTCTATTTTGTTTAGATGGTAGACAGGTTTGCTGGAGACTCAAGCCGAACAATGGTGTAATTAAGGTACCTAGATAAAATAAAAATTAGATTTATCATCTTGGAATTATTTTCAGTTTTTGCCAAGTAATCCGCAGTTTCTTTCCAATTTTACATGTACATTATCTATAATTTTGTTATATTTAATAAATAATGATTGTGAAAACTCGTTTGCATTTCTTATTAGGAAACGATTATCTGTCAATGCTAATTGATCGTGGAACTACCCTCAGTTGAGATGCGATTGTGATGTTCAAAATCTCAATGCTTTCATTTTAAAAGAACACCAAGAAACCGTCTTGCATAGACAGTTTAGACATAGAGAGAGTCCATGCAAGGCTCTACATAAAGTTGGAACCAATGAAACAGATCTTAAGTTTAATTCATTGTTTGGACTTTAGCTCATTAAGACAGTCTAACTTTTCGTTGAACTTTTCTCTGCTTTTGTCTGATGAAAAATTGGATTGTATGATAATTGAGAACAGGACGATCGGATGAAAAGTTGAACAGAAACTTTAATCTGATGCTGCCTTCAACTTTCTGTTCAACTTTCCATCCTATTTGCATAGCCAGTTGCTTTTGATCAGAATGACGAGCTGAATAACATATCCAAGCGTCATCGCGTTTGACTGGGGGAGATTTCCCATAAGGAAGGTGCGGGGTTCTTTAAATATAGGTTTGGAATAAAAATTTTCCAACCAACATAGCAGAGGGAACCAAAAGCTGACGGAAATACCTGACTGGCATTATTTGTTGTTACAACAGTGTCACACAGCAACAACTTTCCATTTAAAGCTTCGTCCGTTTTTATGGAATCAAAATAGTTAAGCTGTCTGAATTGGGCTTTATTGCCAGATGTCCCATTTTTAGTTCCTGATTAATATCTATTTTTTTACCCCAGCAGCACAGGAACTTAAAAAATAAATAAGACCACAGATTTCAATGAAAGAGGCCCAACCAGTTATTAGGAAGAGATGTGGAAAAAGGAGACAAGATAAGGTTATAAAAAAATTAATTTATTTTCTTAGCTTAGAGTATTAAAATAATTATTTCGGCACTTACTCAACAATAACAGGTACAAGTGAGAAGAAAAAAAATACAAAAAGGTAATAACTATTTCTTTGAACACAAATTACTTTCAAAAAATTCGGCTTCCATCTGCTTTAATTATAGATATATTTCGGTGGCTCCCTTGAAAACCATCATCAGCTGATTCAGTATGCGACTATGATAGCTAACAATGATGGCCAGGGCAGCCACCGAAACCTGTTCATTTGAAATTATGGTAAGTTAAAGCCAGTGTTCTCTAAAGTAATTTGTGCTCACATAAAACGGATTTTTGTGTTCTTGAAAAAGTTCAATCTAAAGCTAAATTTACCTATTTCTTGTTCATTGACCAAATATGGCTCTTTTTCCAAAAGGACAAATCATGAGAAAGTATTGCTGATTGAAGAGGGAAGATCAGAGACCAAGAAAAGCAGACGAATAAATCACACACTACCTAAAAAACTGTGGCGCGACTTGTGCGTCATTATCAAATGAAATTACAATACTTTAAAACTCTTTAAAACTAAGGGATACGTTTTAGTGAGGTAAAATGATAACATTAAAAACTCAAACCTTCAATAAGATTGAAGGAATGACTTTGAGACAGTTCAAAATTTATGTTGCCTTATTCCCCCCAACAACTCAAACTGTATTTATTCTCACCGATTTTAATAAAACAAAATAAAAAGGGGGCAGGTGTTGTAAAAGAACAAGAGGTCCAGAGGGAAAAGGGTGTGAAACTCAGTAAAAATTTCTAAAAGAAAGAATAGAATTTCAGTTAAAACCTAGCAAGACAAACTTCAGTTAATCACAACACGAAACTTACACTTCCATTCACAATAAAATCCATTACATTTTATCCATTTATAGTAAATTCATTAGAATTAAATACTTTACAACAACAACACCATTGCATAAAATAATATAATAATAGTAAAAACAAAGGGACAGTTTACACAACAAACACTCCTTCAGATGGAATCAAAGAGCGAATAATGATACACAGTACTAAAGTCAGTCTTATAGTTTTTTGGCTCGTTCGATGACCTCTCGAGAAACAATCAGTCTTTGAATTTGAGCGGTTCCTTCGTAGATTTGGTAAATCTTAGCATCTCGCATCAGTTTTTCGACAGGGTATTCACTGTTGAATCCATTGCCTCCAAATATCTGAAAAAAGGATTTCGAATTGCACAAAAATTAAAATGAAGATGAGATTTTTTTCAGAGGGTACCTAAAATCGCTTTTCTTTATTCCTTTATCCTTCCATTTTAAAATGGACAAAAATATGAACAAAACCTCATTGAAGGAAAAAAGTAAAAAAAAAATATTCCCATTCTGTAAGTAGGTAATACAAAAAGATGTTTCTAGTTGAGAGAGAAGAAATAAAAAAAAAAAAGTTGCTGCAATTCAACTTGAATAACTGAATTATTTCATAAGGATTAATTTAAATTTAAGCCCTGCTTTTTTCAAGAGTGGCAAACAGAGAGTAGGATTTTACACTTTCTGGTCCAAAGTCGGATATATCCAACGTGGTAAAAAACCTGTTCAAATCCGAAAGTTTGAGCTTGTGTGCAGGTCTGACGCTAGTGTGTGGCAGCCTCTAGTGGACTCTGTTGGCCGATATTTGGTAACGTTGCGCGAACCTGCTACGGCGGCTGGGGCATGAAGGCCGCGGACCGGAAAGAATTAGAAGCTTAACAAGGTCAGGAGCCAGTTAGGAACATCAAATGAAACCAAAATGGAGATGTTGCATGTGTAAGGAATTTGCGATTTGACTAATGATTCTTATGTAAAAGTTCGCGAGAAACACGTTGGGGCCACTGGTTTTCTCTGAAATCAACTCCCAAGCTTAAAAAAAGCTCTCGAGTTGAAGCCAAAATGGAGGGGATATCCCACGCTGTCCTGAGAGTCCACCTCTACATCAAGACAAACTCTCCATGCAAAGATAGGGAGCAAATACATTAGAAGTGATGCCGTGTTTTCAGTTTTAGAGTCTCTAAATAAAGTGGCAGCCCTGTCAATGTATTTGCTCCCTATCTTTGCATGGAGAGTTTGTCTTGATGTAGAGGTGGACTCTCAGGACAGCGTGGGGTATCCCCTCCATTTTGTCTCAACTTGAGAGCTTTATTTGAGCTTGGGAGTTGATTTCAGAGAAAACCAGTGGCACCATCGTGTTTCTTGCAAACTTTTACACAAGTATCAACAGTCAAATTGCAAATTCCTCACACATGCAACATCTCCATTATGCCAGCACTGAGTTCCTTGGTTCTCCATTTGTATTTCTTTTCTAAATTTTTCCTGACTTCTGGATCCATCATAAAAATCCCTGCCTTTCTTTCAATTATTAGAATTTTTCGGAACTGTTAGTACTCTGTTCTAGCGTGCAGTATCTCTATATTCAGCTTTTATAACAAAAATTAGAGGGACATACCTGGACAGCATCGGTGGCACATTTGTTTGCAACATCAGCAGCGAATGCTTTGGCGATGGAGGCATAATATGAATTTCTTTTTCCTAGATCAGCTTCAGTAGCAGATTTCATCCATGTTAAACGGGCAGCTTCAATACCAATAGCCATATCAGCTAGAATAAAGGCTACAGCCTGAAAAAATAAAATGAAAAAATGTGAGTTTTCTATTCTAAGCTAGCACTTACATAAAAGATACCTAGCCAAGGGGATAATTAGGGAGCATTTCAAGGTAAGTACCTTTTGTATTTTTACTTAAATTTAGAGGAGAAAACACATGGGACATTTCTCTTTTCATCCAATTTTTTAAAGAAGTTAGGATTTTGCCAACTGTGTTCGAGAACGCTTTTTTCAAGATCCTTGAAAATTAGTCAATAAGCTGATTATTTAAGAAATCATGCGTCAAATAAAATTTAGATATATTGTCTCAAGAGGAGGTATTCTGAAAACTTATAGACCACATGTCCATAGAAGAATATGAATGGGTAAATACTTTTAGCTGAAATTTTGTAAATTTTCACAAATATAAAGCTGCATTCTTTCAGAAAACAAAATGATACTAAAAAAAGTTACATACCTGATGCATTGCAATTGGTACACCAAACGTCTTCCTTTCTAGGGCATATTTTGAGGCTTCATCCAAGCATCTCTGAGCTAGTCCTGTGGCACCTGATGCAACCTGAGGCAGGAAAATAAAAATAATTATACACTTATGAATTTTTCTAGGCACCCCTCACACATCCTTCACAGTTATTCAGTAGGATTCGTCCTCTGAGCTCCCTTTACTGAGACAAAGGAAATCAACACCAATTATTCTTTAGTACTCAGCGAAATTCTTTTTCCTCCACCATATGCCCGAGTTAAAGACTTTTCAGATTTCATAATATTCCTCATGGTGAAGGAAGAACCCAGTTAACTAAAGATTTAAGAAACTAAGTTATTTTCTTGGCATTTATTTAATCTTATTACAAAATAATCACTCAAAGAAGCTCAAAGCTTCGTCTATCCGAATATTTCAGACACCATTCTCAGCCAGGCCAGACCAAAGACATGAAGAAATTGAAATAATTTCAAACTTCGATTGCTGGCTGTAAACTAGAATACAAACAGTGGAGCTCTTTGACAGACATTTTGCAGAAATTCAGTCAAGAGGTAGCGCTCCCTTAGTAGCTCCACTGATATTGAGGACTCGCTGAATTACACGCAACCACTGAGATCAGAAATTAGGAAGGGGAAAAATTCTTACTGGAGGTCTTGTTTTGTCAAAGGCTCCCATGGCAATTTTGAAACCAGCACCTTCACCGATGAGAACATTTTCTTTTGGCACTCTGACATCTTCAAATGTAATACCTCTGGTGTCAGAAGCTCTTTGGCCCATGTTGATTTCCTGTAACAAAAAAGTGGTGTCTTTGTGATGAAAAGAGACAAAGACGCACAATCCTAACTTTGAGTATGAGCTCAGGCCAGGCCCTCTATTCAGTTAGTCTTGAATCCGATACAAATTTTTCAATAACCATGGAATCGACAAAAGAGAAAGGAAATAGAATTGAGCAGGAAAAATCAGGAAAAATCATGAAAATAACATCAAATTTGGGAGAGAACCCTCAGAACACTGGGAATTTTAGCATTTAACAATAATGGAAGATGAAAGTTTTACATTTTGCCAGCCCGAATGATTTTTAAATTGAATTCTGTCAATTATAATCCCATGCAAACAGAGAAAATTTAGGCTCAGGCAAGATTAGCCCTAAACTGATGGGGGCAATTACATTTTGTCATGCTTTCACAAGTTAATGACTGAAGTGCTTTGGGTGAAAAAACTGTGGGACAAGCTGACTGTAAAGCATCAACATCTAAAGTCATCACCAATGTGTTGAAAGTTAGCAAAATCAAGAGAGAAAGTCCCAAAAAGATCAGTGTAAAGGGCACTGTGATTGAAATTTATCAGTAGCCAAAAGAAGGTCTATGGGCTGTTAATTTGCTACAATATACATTTAAAAATTAAGGGAGTAAACTTTAACTTCACTAAAGTACTTTGACTATCATTTTTAAAAAGTCTTGAAATTTTCATCTAGCACTCCGATATAAAGAAAAAAATTAGGTACAGCACAATCAATTACTACAGAAATTACTACATTTACCTTACGACCTGGGGTTAATCCAGGTGTGTCTCTATCGACGATAAATCCTGTGAAAGCCTTGCCAGGAGGACATTTGGGATCCAGGTTTGTGCGAGCAAGAACGAAATACCTGCGCAAAATAACAATATCGTGTAAATAAGAGCCCAGAAATGTTTGTTTGAAATTAAAAGTTATTATCAATTAATGAGCGCTTGTCAGGACTCTGCCGCATTTTTTTAACCCTTTTAATAAATTTCTCTGTTAGTTCATAAGAATGGCTGTATCCATCACTTTCTCTTCAAAATTTCATTTTTCTTTTATTATCAACCAACTATCTTATTTTATTAACCCTTACTTTAATTACCAGACTTGGAGCTGATAGCTACATAGATTATAACCAGCCAATCACGAGTGGTCTTGTTGTCTCACCATCTGTGATGTCAGAGGGCTATACATGAGCATGTGCTGCATATTTTTCAAGGTCTTTCTCCATCTCTCCATCTCACCCGACTTATGTCTCTTGCGCTTTGGTCTTCTTCCAATCTTGTAGACCCATAACTTGCGTTATTCACATTTTTGATCTCTTCTCTAGTTCTAAACCTACAACTTGTGTCATTCATTTCCAACCATACATCCATTTTTAAATTCCGCGTGAACTTCTCAAATGAAACCATACAATAGAAAAAGTTACTTAATCGTTTGATTACTTTGGGTAGTCCTATCTTACTCCTCTGCCTGTGCAAACCTGGTTGGCGGTGACTGAGAAAAATTGCCCGCAGGCGCGGGAAACTTGAAAAAGCGTGTTACAAACTACACAGATTGCACGCTAAGGAATGGATTCCAGACTTTTCTGATGTGCCCAACGAGATTTTCGAGCGAATTTCCTCTTCCGTGCAACAAGTCTTTCAGTATTCAAAATTGCATCCTAGGACTTTTATCTTTAACCTTCACCTGCATTTTAAAATCAATCTACATATGAAGCAACTTAGGTAAATTTAAGAAAATTTGTTGAAGTTTTGCTCCCTCTGAACAACTTTCGCCCTCTTCCTCCTCAAGATTTGATAGAACGTTTGATGGAAGATTTGAATTGACGTTCTTGGATATATCTTTGGGTTCGATTCCCGGCCAGGCGACCCGAGTTTGATGGTCTCAAACAATGGTTGCCTGGGGCTGGTTGTTAGGGAAGGAGGGGGGGACGTGACTAAAGCGCAGGATTAGCCCTTGTGGGCTATTTAAAGTGGTAGGTAGTAATAAAAAAAAAAAAAAAAAACAGATATTGCAGAGAAAAACATGGATGTTGCAGTTCTTCATGAAGAAGAGATATTGAAACATAAACATTCGAAGCTTACCAGTTGGCGACTCCTCCATTTGTAATCCACATTTTTTGACCATTAATTACATATTCATCTCCTTTCTTTTCTGCTTTTGTTTTCACACCACTAACATCAGATCCAGCACCAGGCTCGGTGACGCAATAAGCCTAAAGGGACGAGAGATAAAAATACTAGAGATTAAAAAAGGAATTGACATCAGATATAACGACTAACCCTTCGAACAACTGTATTTGAGATTAAGAATGAGTCAGTAAGGAGAGTCTTTTAACTGGGTCAGACCCTCTTCAGTTGGATTTTTTCGATGACTAGCAGTTCAATATTAGGGGTACATTGATAGTCTTTGGAATATGAGCAAAATATCAAGATGGTTATGGGAAAAAAGTGATGGTTATGAAAGATGAATAATAATAGAGTAATCAAAATTTGAAAGAAGAACAATTTTTTCACTTTTTTTTATTAAGGCCTTGCAGGGTTCATAAAGCTACCCCAGAGATTTTCAAATCAAATTAAGTAAAATTATGAAATTAAACACACCTCCAGTGAGCAGGAAACAAATTAGTGAATCAAAGTCTTACCGCTAATAAAGGCTCATCAATCAATCTTCCCAGGTACTTCTTCTGTTGTTCTTTGTTTCCGGCAAGGATGACAGGCATTTGCTGGGGAAAGAAAAATAAAAGAAACATCAATCTCTGGATACACATTTTCTTTCCTCTTGTTTTTATGAAATTTAAATATCCAAAATAATTTTGAAACTTCACGAGCTATGTGCAGGCAGGCAATCCCCATCCTACATTTATAGTTTCAAAAACCTGTATATAACCCACATGAAAGTGTCTCATGGACCATTTTTCGGAATTTTCATAAATGCAGTTTCTATAATAGCTCATTTTGAGATGGTTCAGAGGCACCTACTTTTTTAAATTCATCTCCTAGAGTACTGAGTGAGTAGAGCTCTTAGTATTTTTTTTAAGTTTGTTTTTTCACTCCAAATGACAAATTTCGAAATTTCACGATCAATACAGGGTGTTTCAGACCACCCGTACCAGGTCTTTTTCTCGGTTGGTTTAGGTCGCACGAAATTGGAGACCGCGGGGTTGAATAGGGAATTGACCCCAAGGAATCCGAATTTTGTGGTCCCGAAACCCCCCCACCCCCCCTTGGGGAGTAAAGGGGGGGTCACGATGCTAAAAGTCACGGTTCCCGACCGAATTGCGGATAGATCGCATCAGAATTGAAAAGCACGGAAAATTTCACGTGGAATTGACCCCTAAAAATCCAAAATCGGACCATCCAAGGCCCAAAAATGATCTCCTAAAGAGGGGGACAGTACCCCCCTCCATAATTTCTCTTTGGCCTCAAAATTGACGTAAATTCTCCAGAAAAAGACGGTTTTCCAGGTAATCGACCTCGAGGGATCCAAATTTCATGGTCCCGAAGCTCCTCTAGCCCCCCTTAGGGGGTAAACGGGGGGGCCCAATTTTAAAAATCAGGGCTCCTTTCCGAATCGCAAATTGATTGCATCCAAATTGAGGAGCAGAACAC